GGATCACCAACATGATTACCAATGTCCAATGATGGATATGGCACAAGAAGAAGATATTAGAGGGATGATTCTTGCCCATTTAGAGCAGTGATCCCTACTTTTCCAGCTCCATGGACCGGCAGCAGTGGTGGCGGTGGCAGGGGGAGAGGCAATGGTTTCATGCATGTGCCCACAAATGGAGCTTTGCACAATTGTGTGCACACCTACCACTTAGAGCCTGTTCCCAAGAGGCTGCAGATTGGTACTGGGTAATGGACCAAGGGTTGAGACCCCTGGTTTAGAGCACAAGTCTAGGATTAATGGGAATTGTGGAAATGACTTGCTTAACAGCATTATATAAGCAGATCAGTCTTGAATGGGAGAGATTACAAAACAGTAGCCAGGAAATAATTTCTCTGCAGTCTTGTCTGTTCACACACACCAATGCCCTCTTAATAGAAATGTGACTGGGAACTGAACCACTCTAATTCTGCGTGGGAATGGACTGCTATGGAACTCAGCAGAAGCATATCTGAATATGGTCCATGATACCCTTGGGCAATGAAGACTCATCTGATTCTGGATTGATAGCAGGTGTCAATGTCATCTAAGATAAAGGCAGAATGATACTGGATAAAATATGGACAGAAAAAAATCTAATAGATATGGTATCAGTATATAAGTGGTGATTGAGGTTGGGGGTGAATGAATAGTAATTCATTCTAGTCAGCCGAGATTATATGTAATTGAGCATCAAAATATCAGCTGGGGATCAGCTGGTGTTGATTGCTGAGTATAGTTGTCAAGACAATTTAATCAGATAAAAGCTGAACATGCATTTGGGGAACAGGTTCGGCAAAATCCTGCATGGGTGCTCCAGGCATATACTCAGCCTGCAAAAATAACTAAACGCCCCCAAAAAATGCACCCCCCACCTAACTCCATATAGCAGGCTCTGAATTTTGCTGCCCAATCTGCTAGAACTGTTTCTACTTTGTTTTCTTAACACAGATTAACTAAACACCAAGAGAATTATTGTTCTCTTTCAATGTATTGTCATTACATCTTGTATCTTGCCTCTGATCACTTTCTTTTGTGAATATGGGGTTGTTAATATTTCATTATAGTTCATCTTTGAAATATTTTGACACATCAGGATATGTTAACCATTAACCAACTGATTTTGAGTGGGGATTCATGAGAAACTTGATGTCTCCAAAGTAGCAAAGGCAGCACTGTGGCAATGTAGAACGTCAAGATAAGGCAAGATGTACTATCATAAAATATATTCCTAAATATAGGAATATATATATTCCTAAATATGATTGGAAAGCACCTATTCAGCCAAAGTGTACGATGCTTCTTCTCTTCCTTTTTTTCTTGTGTTTTGTCCCTTCTTTGGCACCCTATCTTTAATTATTCTAATCAACTATTTCTTCGATAATAGTGCAACAATTGTCCCATGATAAGTTGGCTGCAGTGAGTTGTTGTAGACCCTGGTCAGCAGTACCTTGCTGGCAGATCAAGTCAGACTGCAGACCAAGGACATGTTTTGCTTCGTGTGTGTTTGTGTCTCTGTTTGTGTTTAAAGTCATTACATCTTCAAAACATTGTGACAGAGGATGCCAACTGTTAATTTTTCTGTAGGGTGCCAGACAAAGATGCTTGCACCTGAATCTAAATAAGATTGGTTCTCTTTTACTTCGCATGGCTGAATGAATGAATGAATGCAGTTATCCAGTTGTTATTGGTTTGTTGTCCTATTTCTATCAGTCCTTCAAAAACTTTCTAGATCCTCTATATCAGGGGTGTCAAACTCAAGACCTGGGGGCTGGATCCAGCCTGCAGGGTGCTTAGATCTGACCCTGGAAACAGTGAAGGATTGGTCCATGGGGCCTCTGCCAGTGAAAACGGAGCTCAGGAGGGATGCGTGCAGCCCTCCTGAGCTCCGTTTTTGCTGGCAGAGGGTTGCAGGAGGCAGTTGCAGCTGAAAACTGAGCTTGGGAGCCCATTTTTACTGGCAGAGCGCTTGGCCACCACAGTTGCCCCCAACGAGTGATGGCCATGCCCGCTCAGGCCCCTCAAAGTCAAACACAACCCTGATGTGGACCTCAATGAAATCGAGTTTGACACCCCTACTCTATATCAAGTATGCTGTGATCTGGATCTTCTAAAAGTTAAAGTGACTTCAACAGTTAATCAAGATACCCTCATTAGAGTCAATTTGGATCTCTCTGCCTTCAACTTTGTAGCCTCCATTTGCTCTAAAACATTGTGTCACACCGTGATTTTCTGAACTGTGAACATTTATTTTATGTAAGCCATAATTATGGTCTTTTTTTAAAAAAGAAATCCATTTTGTTTTATTATTGCAGTCTCAGGTTATTCAAAGGTCGCACATGCTAAATCTAAGTGCAGTCACAGAAATGTTAGGAGACCAGTTTATCTGGATGATAAAACATCAACAGCACTTTAATTTCAAGACAATGTCCAAAAAGAAAAGCCAATAATTTTTTGAGTTCAGAAAGGTTAATTGACTCAAGGTTAACATACCCACTGATGGTAAAAGCCACAGGGTTTTTTGTGGGTCCTCAAGGACACATTTGCCTGACAAGAAAAGGATGGCAAAGTCGAAGGCTGCACAATTTCTGACAAAACTATTCTAAGACTAAGGACATCCGTGTCACAGAAATGTAGGAGCCACAATAATTGTTAATAACCTACTGTATATTTTGGCAGTCTGTTCACATAATGAAGTAAAAATCAAAATCAGTGTTCCGTAAGTAATATGAGTAATGTTTTCCTTTATATTTGAGCAAATCCATGAATATGGACAACATTGTTGCAAGCCCTCTTGAAAATAAGAGATTTTCTTTCCCTATTCATGTTTAGTTTCATGGAATGAAATAAACACAACCATTTTCACACTTCTTTGGTTCTATATAAATTAACAACTTTCATCAAAGCACTTCAAAAAGCATCAAACGTTACTGGACTAGTCTACAAATTCTGTAGCCCCAAGTTAAACTCTCTAGCACACATCTCTTCAGAATGGTTAAATTCCAACTAGTTTCCAATTAAATTAAAAGTGTCCAATTAAAAGGACACTAAATTTCAAGGTTAGGATAGTTTTGTTCTTGAAACCTTGAGAACTGCAGCCAGACAAATACCTGCGTATTACATCAAAGATGAATAACTCAAGCATCCAGTTTTAAAGCAGGTTTCAGGCACCACACGATGGACCCTAAAAGAATGTAAGTTTCCCATCTGTTTTTTCCTTACGTTTGTGGAAATTGTAAGAAGGAAGTCAGAGGCTTCTTTGCTCTCATCCCACCTTTAAATCTTGAAAAGGTTATACGGCACAAGTCATATCACTGGTATTTGCTGCTTAAAGGCCTGATACTTTCCAGCCTTACTTCATAATGCTCCAATAACAGAATATCGCTCAAAATTGGAATTTTGCTACTGAATTTTAGCAATGTGATCCTGGGATGCTAAGAGGGTATCATCTGTAGCTTGATGCTAAATAAACACCTGTATCTGACAACAGGAGGCAGCTGGATACGTATGCTGTGGAAGATGCCAGAATCACACCTCTCTCTTAATGCTGGGGTAATTTTCTAAAAATATCTTGGCGTAAAAAGATCCCAAGTCTTCCTTTTGTTGCACCATTTTATTTTTCTTCCTGATGCACTACGAAGCTATTGTGTGCCTGGATCAGGTCCAAATTCTACTGACCATTGCCCAAACTTTCTGGAGTTGGGTGGCCTTGACAAATAAAATAAATGGCCAACAGCTGTGATGAATTCAGACATTACAGTACTAGATTACAACTTTCACCAAATCCAGGCAGAATAGTAACAGATGTGGGCATGTTGGACAGCCACTCTTCCCTCCATCAAAAGAACATGCTGTTATTATAATGGGGGTGTAAATGCTTGCATTATATGCAATTTTGTTTTACAATTTATGTAATGATCAAAGCAGCACATATTCTCATATTCTCTACATGTGGCATGTTTTGCCAAATCTCTCTACTTAAAAGGAGCAATGCCCATTTGGACTTTTATAGTTGGGTTCCAATAGTGGACTAAAACATGTTGCTTCCAAGATTTTATAATGACTTGCTGAGAAAAAAGGGCTACGCAGTTTGAAAGAAAAGCTATTTGTCTTCTTTATATATCTTCAAAGCAAACTGCAGTATTCTTCAAGGGGCGCCTGGGAAGAGACAAGAATAGCTTGCAGATAAAAAGACAAGGAAAGGCATAAAGAAATATGAATCAAAATAGCCAATTGTGGGTTTCATTTTAGATTTTTCTCTGCCTGAATGTATGCTTGTATTACGGAAGTCATCCATCCATCTGACCATAATGATCAAACTAGCCCTTTTGGGAATAAGTAACATTATGTAAAGCCTAAAGAAGAATAGTAAGTAGAAGACAAAGAAAGAGAGAGGGGGGAGGGTGGGAGAGAGAGGGAGAAGAGGGATTGTTCTTTAAATGTCTCACCTCTGTTTTCTCAGGTTCTCATTAATTTCATTCAATTCCAAGACTTTCAGTCACTCCTTTCTACATAACTCATTAATTTTCCATCGTATATTTGTTTTGTGTTTCAGTTCTCAATCCCTCCTTTACTTTCATTCATTTATTCACATAACCAATCACTTTCAATCTATTTCATATTGTCACTCACTTTTGCATTCAATCTACAAGAATTTATCCCTCTCTCAGGATTAAGTTCTGGTTCTGGCTTTGCTATACACACCATTAAATTACCGTATTGCAATTGCACTCAGTTTACCGCTGTGCTTCGCCTCTGTATAACAATGTGGGCAGAAGCAACTTCTTAAGACGCAGCCATTTTTGCTTCTTTCAAAAAACATTCATTCATTGCTCCCAACTCTACTCTTCTATTAACATTTGCACATCCAGCCACTTTTCCATCTGTAGAAAATTATCAGGGCACACAAATCCAGTTATCTAGCAAAGATATTTTTATCATGTATGTTTAACTTGCTATTGTTCATACTTTTTAAAATAAATACTTATGTACATTCATCTTCATTGCATTAATTCTCATACTCCTTACTGCATCATATCTGACATAATATTAACCATCTGATATGGTTAATATCTGATATTAACCTCACATTATTTTACTTCTTATCCTTTGACAAACAAAAATGCACATTTACATTCCCAAACAATGTACCTCTAATAGCACAAGTCTTCCTTATGCATTTATCCATAAATACATATAAACAAACAGTAGGACATCACAATCTTTGTCTTACTCCCTGCTCAGCATTGAACCATTTATTCTCACACATACTTTAGTTCCATTATACACTCCTTTTATGATATTTAGTAACCAACTTCACTATTTTATACAAAGCACTTCATAATTCAAGCCTATTCGCATCATCATATGGCTTCCCATATGATGGGAAATCAACTAATGTTTAATAAGCCTTTTATGTCACATTCATACATGCATTTATCAGTTAATTGCTGAAAAGCAAATATCTGGTTTACACTTCATTGGCATAAAGCTGCATGACTCTTCTCTAATTTTGCTCATTATCACCTTAGGAAATCTGCCACTTTTTACTGCCACTTTATAAACTAAAACTTTTTTGCATTCTTTTCAAAGAATCGTATTAAGGAAGTCATAGACACTCCATAATAAAGCTGCATCCATATTTTAAACTCTCCAGTAATTCCACCTGCATTCATAGCCCATTTCTCTTTTCCTTTTCCCTTCCTTTCCCTTGACACTAACATTCATTTTAATTCCACTCTTCACTGTATAAATCTCCATAACCGTACTTCAATATTTCCTCACTTTAGGTATATTCCAATTCAGTTCCTCATTTTCATTTTTAATTCATTCAGTTTGGTAACTAAAATATCTGCAAGCAACCAATCAACCACAGAAAGCACCAAGGACTCCACAGTTCAACCTGGAGCTACACATATTCTCTACTGTTGGTTAATTCATTCCCTGCTGGATGCTTCTTGTTCAGATTTTCACCTATTTCTAAAACAAAGTTTTACTTCAGTGAAAATCCCTCTGCATTTTCTTTGCCTCTACTTTAATTCAGCCCTTTGTTTCATATTCTTTGGTATTACACTCTTGTGTCTGTACACTTCATAAAACATACTTTGTTCATTCTCATTTTTGCAGTAATCATTCCCTTATATGCAATGTTTTGTTCATCCCACATTCATTATGATCCAAGCATCCTTTTTAATACTCATTAGTGTGAGTGCATATATTTCTGTAGCATTTGGTTATATTGGTTATTCTTTTCCAAATTATGTCCATATCCCATTGCTTGTGTCTACTTTCTATTAATTCTTTTGAGATAGTAATTAATGTACAAATAATTCATTCAAGATTTCTACTTTTCTCTTACTCATTCTACTTCCGCTCATTTATTTTCCTTTTTTTCCTATTTGCATTTTCTCGTACTCTCCAAGATCCACTCGTGACATTATTATAGTCTGTCTTGCAGTCAGAAGCTTCTATTATCTTTGTATACTTCACAAAACCTCTCAATCTTTTATCAGAATCAAAATCACCATCCAAAAGGATTAATTGCTTTTCAATGTCTACAGAAAAATACATATTAAAACACATACCATTTAAAGCGCAAGTTCCTCTAAGTAAACGGCTCCCACTCATTTTTGGGTCCCCAAGTAGCCTATTTAACTTTTATTGCACTCTTTCATCTTTTTCTTACCCATCCATTCCTATCAGGCTAATTTTTTCTCAGATTGATTTAGGTCACACATTTTCCCCCAGGCTCAACCTTGGCTCTTCCAATATAAGCATTGATGGAGAGTATCATGAAATTATGATCAAACTATTAATTTCTTCTTGCATATGCACCAATATTCTAGATCAGGGGTGTCAAATTCAATTTCATTGAGGACCACATCAAGATTATGTTTGACCTTGGGGGCTGAGTGGGTGTGGCTGAGGTATGTGTGTGGGCAGGGTGTTCATGGCCAGCTTCACATCCTGCAGCCTCTGCCAGTGAAAATGGAGCCCAGGCGGGCTGGCAGAGGCACCATGGGCTGGCCCTTCATTGTTTCCAGGGTGGCCCGTGGGCCAGATCTAAACACCCTGCAGACCGGTAATCCGGCCCATGGGCCTTCAGTGTGACACCTGTGTTGTAGATCATACCAACATAGCTTTTTTGTAATTAATGAGCTCTACTCCACAATATCAGTTCACTTTCATCCAGATCTACAACATCCTTTGCCTTCCTATCACTTTCACAAATACATTGCATCCCCAGGTTTCTTTCATTCACTGATTCATGCTCTTAACGAAACATCCCTCTTTATCGTGTAGCTTCCTATTTAACTATTCACTGTATATTTGATTACACTGCCAGCAAAAGTAATTATTGAAAGCCAAAGCATCCTGCTTTTCTCCCCAAATCAACAAGGTTTAATAACCTTGATGTGAGAGATAGAAACACATTTTACAGCATAAGGTACACCCAGAACATTTTTCAAAATCTGCAGGTAAGGTTTTCAGTATGCAGCTTTAAGCAGTGCTGGGTCCTCTGAGAACTGTGACATTCAAAAGCACGTTCTGGTTATACAGAAAAAAAGGAGCCCAAGTGCTCAAATTTTTTATTTGGTTTTTTTTTTTCCTGCAAAGTTGAACAAGCTTTAAAGGGCAGCTTGTTGGCTTTAATTCCTTCCCAAAGCCACACATCCTCTTATTTCTCTCTATCTTTCCTTTTGCTCTTTCGCTGCTTGGACAGTTCGCTGAGTTTCTGGTCCAAGCGTCTCTGGAGGTGAGCTCTCTTGGTAGGATCCAAGGACTTGTCCTTCATCCCACTCCCAGGATAGAGAATCCCTTCCTTGCTGATTCTCTGCCGGGCATTTGCTTTGGCTTTCTCCCCGCATCCGTGAACCTGCGGGAAATAACGGCAGAAGCTCAAGATACTCCAGTAGGAAAAAGCATTAGTAAAAGAAAAATGAGAGGTTACACTACTTCATACATCTACCCTAAACTTTACACAACTGTACAAGTAGTTTACTTGTTTACTGACAGTTCTTTTAATTCCAAAAGCAATAAAAAATGCAAACATTTTCCCCCACCCCACCCCAGTAGAAACTAAAGTGAAATCAATTTCAGACAGCTTGAGTATTTTCTTTTTAAACACTACAAGTGGATGGGAAATCTCTTTTCCATCTTCTGGGCAACTTTGTTTCTTGGACTGATAAAATACAACTGTATCATTATTCTCCAAACTCCAACATTATAAAGAGAGATGCTTCTGAAGAGTATTGGAAGAAAATCAACAGCAACACAGCTGTATAAACACAACCACAGATATTTCTAGAAGTCAATTTGCCATCAAATTGGCAAAACCCAATGAGCAGCTAGCAGGTCCAAAATGCCAGTTACCTAACTGAAGCAGACAGGCTTCACCCTGGCCAATACTTAGGGAGAAAATTGCTTGAAGAAGCCCAGAAAAAAATTAGGGCTTATAGGATACGCACCATTACGGTATTTTGCAAGCTGCACTGGTTCATCATAGGCTTCTGAGGGTACTATTGCTTCTGATCTGAGACCCAACCAGAATGGACATACTTCAGATATCCTCTATGGCTTTCTTGTGGGTCCTTGTTTGTCACAGGGCCTGACCTCTGGAAGAGCAACTCCCTGAGATTCAAACCACCCAATTTGGTAAGGCCTTGAAAACCTAGTTAGATTGTTGGTTGAGCCTGTCTTGCTTCAGGTGCAGTTTTAATATTTGTTGCTGTTGTTTGTCTCTTTTCATTTTATGTTAGCCACCCAGAATCACAATTTGCGATTTGGGCAGCTAATATACATTGCATGAATTGAATGAATAAATAAAGGCATGTTTGAAACAAAGTGCCAGGAATAATAATTTATATCTGGGGAGATTGAGCACACAGTAATTCTTAAATTATGAGGAAAATATGAGCAGAAAATACCTACAGGGAAAAGTTAAGCACTTTAATAAAAATAAAGGTTATAATAAAGACTGAAAAGGCTTTGATAGAAGTCTGTTTTATTAGTAGTAAGTGATGATGGAATCAGACAGAATTTCTGAAAAATAAGATTGTAGGGTGAATCAACTCAGGTAATTATATTATGTCAGAAAGCTTTAATTTAATAAGCATATAACATCTAGATTTAGAGGGCAACAAGAAAGTATAAAACAATCTGGTAAAAGATTTGAAGCAAATACAGAAATTAAATTGTGATTGTCCTGGACCAAACCCAAGCATACACCTAAAATGTTCACATTTATTAGTTCTGTCTTAATTGATCAAGCATTTGGGCTGGCCCATATGAATTTTTCCACGACTTAAATTCTAAAAAGATAAAATCTTCCTTCTTTTCTCAAATGAGAACTATTCAAATTCAGGATGAGACAAAAATTATTGAACTAAGCAATATGAATATGTTTTTAAAAGCTAGCTTATATCACTGCTTTTATAATTAGCAATAATATTATAGTAAAAAAAAGGAATTGGTCTTTTGTGGCTACATATTTCTAAGGGCTTTCTTCTTAAAGTCAGACCTGCTCAGCAACACTAAGCTGTAAGCTTAGCTTTAAGATAAAGTTCATATGAGATATAGTAACCATAATTCTTCAGAATCTGGAGGAATTATATTTGTTTTATAAATGATACTAAGTCTTCTGTCAACTTACAAGATATATGGAAAGTATAATATGATCTGCACTGAGAAAATGTTGATACTTGTTGTCATATAACTCCTTGTGTAGGTGTGGCGGTCACCCATGGCCCAGTGCATAACAGGGCATGCGCAGCCACGCTGAACCACACAGGAAA